TAAATTAATTATAATTAACGAACAATTTGTATTTCTTATCATAAATACTATCAAAATTTATATTATAATGATAGGTATCAAACTTTATGATAAGCGTTTATCATTTAAATATTTTTAGTATATTTTTTTTGGATTTCTTATACTCGTAGTATTGAATTAATAAATTTATCTATTCCTATAATTTTACTTTATTTTTTTTCATTAAAATAATTTAGTTCGTGGATTATAATATACGTGGCATTAAAATTTTAGATATATCAAATCTAATTCGTTATTTTTATCTACGTGGTAACATAATTTTTTAATTCAAAAATAAAATACAAATTTTTCTTAATAAGTATATTTTTTACGTAGCGCTCCAAATGCTCTCCAAAAATGTCTACTTTATAAATATATATTAGATTAGATTAGATTATTCCACATAATTAGAACGCCAAAGTTGGGAATAAACGGCCAATTTTTATGCTAATTCATGGATTTATATATTTTATGCTTTTTTGCTGATTCTATGCCATAAAGCTAAGCATAATGATGATCTCATACATCGTGTTGTAATAAATGCAAGAATGTTGACAAAAAACTATCAAAAGCACATGCACTATTTGCGTAGTATTCTAACAATATCTTGGCTACATTCACATAAACATTATGTTAGTACATACAGATACAAAGAAAAGTTACAAAAAACGGACACATACATCTACATGGTTTACTAACATGTATATAGACAAATGACAAGAAATTCATTGATCTTGATATATAATTACCAAATTGTAAACTAATTAATTAATTGGGTTATATATTGAACAAAATAGTTTATAATAGTACATTACCCTCAAAACGAAAAATGGTTGACTCAAAATTAGGCTTAGTGGTAGCCTAAATCGATTAACATACTGTAAAAAACTAAACCAAGGCTTGTCACCCCTAGGTCGGCCTTGACTCATTAATCGAGCAACATGACCTTTGTGATGTGTCATTTAAATGTAAAGGCATACATATTCAAGACATATCGATCTATACACATTACTTTATAAGGCCATTAGTGCATTTAACTAATACATATAGATAACTGCATTAATAAGAGGATTGAAACTGGTAGTTGAAATTAGCTGAAATTAAAACTTAAAACTTATTATTATATAGATGGTAGTAAGAATAATTTAGGTGTGTTTGGCAAAAGTTAGTTAAAAGGCCTATTACAATCACAAAAGTTAGTTAACGTGAAGGGTTTAAGGCTTTGTTTAATTCAACTTAAAAAGCTAATCTTTAATAAAAGTTGCAAGTAGTTTTAATCAATAAAAATATTTTTTAATTAGATAAACTTGATTTAAATAGAATTTTATTCAATAACATTTTATTACAATTATTTTTTTAAAAAAAATTTCAACAAAATTAGTAAATTCATCTAGAATGTGAAAAAAATGTGGTAAAAGATATATTTAATCTTTAAAATTAGTATAAATTGAACAACTTAACTCAATGAAGTCAATTTAAATAATTTCTAGTAAGTAACCATCTAGTGAAAAATAAGCAATTGAAATTATATATAGGTGAAATGACCTAAAATTGAATTGATAGTTAGAATAAATGAAAGAAATATCATTTTCAAATAAAACCCAAATAATAGGTTAACTAAAATATATTGGTACGAACTAAAAAGTATAAAATTTACGTCTCATGTTTTTGTCAGATATTTTATTTGTATTTTATGCATTCATCAATGCATAATTTTGATCGTTTATCATTAGTTTCCAATCAACATAATTTTGAATAATACTAGCTCCCTTCCTTCCACTAATAGTTAGAATTGACACACTTTGATTTTTTCACTATTTATATACAAACTTTGACTACAATATATTAGAGTTTTAGGTAATGCATGAAAAGTAAAAGTAATTAGTATCATGTAAAATAATGTTTTAAATAGATATCGGTATAAAGTTTAATAATATTAACTATTGGAACTCAATTTATAAGTGTGCAACAACTAAACTACAATCTTAAAGAAAAGAAATGGTGATAAATAAACAAAAATTTAAGTAGCATATTATACACGTAATATATGAATCACAAGTTCACAACACATGTTATCAACAAATAAATTAAAAGGGGACGTGATTGATTCTATTAATTAATTATTGTCTAGGCCATAATTAATCAAATTAGTTTATGATGACTACATGAATTTATTATTCAAAGATGTCATAATTGTATGATACTAACTTCTGTGTTTAATTAGTACGAGCATCATTTGCGTTAGTTGCTGAAATTTGTTTGAAAGCATTCAAGTCAAATTCTTCATAGTTTTTATAGTAGTATAGACGACGACAATTAAAGATTTATATAGTGATTTAAGTTTGATAATGACCATGATTAGCATCATCATCATACATCATAATTAAGTTCATAGATAGCCAACAACCACCTTGAGTTTCTTGCTCTACCTCAAACAAAGGCCGGTCTTTTTATATATTTATTTATTTTTCTTTATATAGTGTACATATAACAAGATTCAGTCTTAATTATTAAATTCCACCTTCAATTCTAATAATTTAGTTGATTTATAAATTTATTAATTTGGCATAGTAATTCTTTTCTAGTAGATATACCACAACCTACTATAATGCATACATAGTAATTCTTCTCTAGTAGATCAGATATACAACCTACATACTATGATTCAAACCATGATTATTTTTTTATCAAAATCAGAAACATGCACCTTATATATTGATTTGAATGTGAGACGATTGTATATTATAGCTACAAGTTTTGGAAAGATTTCACCTAATGAAATTTAGAACTTTTTTTTTGTACTCCCGGCCCTACATTAGATTGTATATATGTACTTAGTAATTATTTTTGTGCATTGTATATTTGTATGTACATTGTACTTATTTCTTGGACTATGTGATTTTTGCAATAATCAATCAATTTTACAAAAGAAATGCAATCACAAACAATCGATCATATGCTCACATTTTATCACAGATTATTTTGCTCATTATTAGCATTACCATATATGAGGTATTTACTTGTTAATTATGAAAAAGTTGATGCACATACTTTGTGAATATACAACAAATTAAATACAATTACAATTCACATAATAATACAGAGTATCATTTAATCTGTACTACATACTCAGTATGTATAAAATAATTAGAATAGGGTTCTTCAACTTTACATGGTAAAAAAAGTTAAATTTGAATAACTATCTAAAATATGGACTAAAATCCCTAGCTAGATTGACAAGCTAAGGGAAATGAGATATAAACAAAATATCTTATGTCATAAACTATGAGACTATCTTAAACCCCTTTTATCTTTAGTAAAAACAATCCAAACAATAGACTAAAAAAGGAAAATAATGGAAGAAAAAAAAATTTATCTTTCTCACCATGAGATGGCATTGACTAGGCCTTGTATGTACATGCACCATATATGGTTCCAATTGGCTTGCAATAGCACTTTGCGATTTGGGAAATGTTGGCGCCCAAAGTTATTGAATAATAATTCTCAAGTACCATGTTATTACCAAAGTACGACCTTACTAATTCTTGTTTATAATAATTATTTTACATTATTTAGTTTATATATATATTATATTATAAAGTCATGAGTCATACATTGAGTACTTGTAATAAGCTGTATCCAAACGCGGAAACTTCAGGTGAAAAAAGTTCTTAGGCAATTTTTGAAAAAGCTCTTATTAAAAAGAGAGATTAAGTTTACTGTTTAGCTACTTGCAAACAACTAGGGGACAAAAATATCATGAAAACAGCCAACTTTTATTTGCTACCGATCAATTTTTGTGTAATAAATAAATAAATAAATAAATAAATAAATAAATTTTTAGTTTTTAATTTTTACTTGGTACGGCTACTACAAATATAATGCTAGGACTAGGTCACTATTACTTGTATTTATAGTATAGTATTAAAAAGACTGTATATTTTTCATAGCTTAAGACTTTGTAATAATTTTGCATGAAAAATTAAATTAATATGACTTGGATCCCATATAAGATTACTACCACTACTCCTACTCTCTTGCCGCCCATTTTCAAAGCTACTACTACAATATCTCGGTTGATTTTGATTTTTTTTTTTTTTATTGGATTGTACGGATATATGTTTATGTTTGCTAGCTTTTTCACAAAAATTAGTAAAAGAGATTGACCTAAAACTTGATTTTCTTCCCAAATATTCACAATTAATTCTAAGTTCTTATTCTATATTCTTGAGTTGATGTAATTCATATATAATCCATGTTAGAGGAGAAATATAATAGGACATTCCAACGGAAATGGAATTTCAGAATAAGTGATGATGTAATAATATACGCTAGTTCATGGATCAATACGTTGTATATAGATAAGCCATTGTACAATTAGTCTTTATGTTATCTCACTTTGCTAGTTTGCTAATCAACATATTCATTCAATTTTGATGTGTCGATAATGTAGAATACAACAGTCTAGATGATAAATCATTGCTTTTGAATTAAAAGAATTATACAATAATAGCTTACATTAGACTGTATGTATAACATTAAAAGACTCATATGTACATTGAAACAGAAAGATTACATAAGTGAAATTTCTAAAGAAATAGAAAAAAGTTAGCATGCGAGAATATATAGCTTCCCTAAATATGGGCCTAGAATAATTCGACATACAAAAGGATTAAATGAAAGGTGGAGATACAAAATTACAAGTATAGAGATTTACAAAGGAAAATCAGGCATCTAATCTTATAACCAAGATTTTATTAAAAAACGAATATGGGACAGCACATACAACTATACGTACTTTGAAAGAGCACTAACAATTTGCTAAATGAATATTAATATTATTGACTACTCTTATATTTCTTTTTAAATTTTTTGTTTTTTTCTTCTTTTTATTTTCTCAAATAATATTCAGGGGCCCTTAAACTTTTGTCTATTGGTCATTTCCACCCTAAAGGTGTCCTTGTAGGATCTATATATATGCTCTCCCCTTCTCACTCATTTTCAAGTAACACCTAATCTTAGAACTTCTTAATCCTCTCTCTTTTTTTCCCTTATTCTTTTTATTTAGCTCATAATATTAACCTTAGCTTAGAACACTAACTCTTTTTTGTTTTTGTAATTTTCATTACATCCCCTTTCTTCTTTTGTCTCATTTTTAGCTAAGCTGATCATAATAGCAGTCATGGTTTCTCCCGCCGTTGCTCGATTCGCCGTCGGTATTCTAGGTATTGCTAATTTGTAGTACTACTACTACTAATTGCTACATACATACATACTCAATGAAGCAATAATTATGTACACATACATAGGAACATGCTAATTAAACATGGTGATTAATCTTAATTACCATGATGCATGTTCCTAATATTTTTCACTACTACTATGATACATCAATTTTGACGTTAGGTCATTTTACTTTTGATTCCAGGGAATATCATCTCTTTCTCCCTCTACTTATCTCCAATGTAAGTATAACATTTTCACCTTCATTTTCTTTTGCTCTCTAATTTTTATTTATTTTTACACACGTACTCTCACTCATGCTTCATGCATGTTTACCTTGTGGGCCCCTAAGAATTATACCATATACACATATTTTTAATATATGGGTTTTGATCATATTATATATATGTACATATAACATATATAATATATGATGCATGTATATATAACTAATAATACTTTTTATGGTGTTTCGATTATGATATTTTCAGGCCAACATTTATTCGGATATGCAAGAAGGGATCCGTAGAACAATACTCGGCAACTCCATACTTGCTTACCTTCTTAAACTGCATGTTATGGACTATCTATGGGATGCCATTTATCCAACCTAACAACATTTTACTATCTACGATTTCGGCGAGCGGATGCTTGATTGAGTCCATTTATTTGATGCTCTTCATTATTAACACCGAGAACAAGAAGAAGAAGATCATTTTGATCATTCTTGTGCTTGGTGAGATACTCGCCGTCGGTATCGCCTTGGCCTTGGTGCTTACCTTCATGCATACCAGCAAAGATCGGACTCGCATTTTTGGGTTACTTGGTGATGTTAGCGGTGTTCTTATGTACGCCTCTCCATTAGCCGTCATGGTATGTTTTTTTTGTTACAAGTGTTATTATTCTAAGGTTCATAAAATAATTTTTGTATTCTAATAATCATTTTGAATAATGGTACATAAGTTGGTCGTAAATCAACTACATGGATGATGTGGTGCTATTACGAGTAGTAGCACATCGACTAATAATTACAAACACATTTTTGCCTTTATCTGAATTGACGTTATTTTACAAAAATTACAATTATTTGTGATAAAAATGGAAATTATTGGTTTCTAGTTGATTAGTCATACATACATAATAACTAATATAGTAAATGAGCTAGACTAATGATTTGTTTTGGGTTACAAATGTGCAGAAACAAGTGGTTAAAACAAAAAGTGTGGAATATATGCCGTTGGCTGTCTCGGTGACTTGCTTCGGCAGTGCTGTTATATGGACTCTATATGCGATCCGCCCATTCGATCCATATGTTGTGGTACGTGCTCTGTCTCTTTCTCTCTCGCTCGTTCTCTCGTTTATATCCATGCATGCTGATTTATTAGGGGTGTTCAAAAATACCCAACTCGGCTGACTCCGGACATTGGTGATGTATGAGCATCCTTACTCATTCTCATATATGGCTCATGAATGTTGCATGCTTCACCTATTATTTTCTAGCAACAACAAAGAATGTTTAGTTTTTTTTTTTCTTATTAGTCAGGCTATAAGGTCCCAGATTATTTGTCCAAAAGAAAATACATTTACCTAGCCTTGGTGGTGTTGGGTACCAGTGACACCAGATTTTGGTAACATATATTCCATGTAAAAAGTTGTTAGTCGTCAGTAACATTAGATGCATAGACATTCAATGTTACTTTCTGATTACTTTATCTTATTTAGAATAAGATTCTCTAGATTTTTACACTGTAATTAATTAACGGAATAAATATGCATAGTTCAATAAAAGACGGATTTACTAATTTTTTCACAAATATACGAATATTACCTTAGACCAAATTATGTGACAGATAATCAAATACACCCAAATAAATTAGTATATCCGTGAAAGTAGACTATCAAACCAATACTCTTACAATTTCGTAAACTATTTTTACCCATAGAATTTCCGTAGTAATTTTTTTAATATTTCCTTATATAGTAACGATATAAAAACTTTTGAATAAAAAGGATAAAAAATTAAGTTTGAGGAGTAACACTTTTGGAATGCAATTGAATAAATAAAAATAAATGTTGAGATCTCATTGGTGCAACCTAGCTAGCAAGTAGCAAGTACTACAATGCTACGGAGTGTGGAAACGTCATTGTCAAACACAAAGTAGTGCGACTAGTGGTGTATAATATTTCTATTTTATTAATTTTTAGAATTCCCACAAGTATGGGATGAGTCTCTATTATTGTACCTAACCTTAAATTTTAATATGGCCCACTTAATGTATGGGATTCTGCCCAAATGCTGACGTGGACCAAAATGACAAGTATATTTTGGACCTACTTCACTCATTGAACAATAAAAAATTATTTTTCCAAAAAAATAAAAAAAAAAATTGTTGAAAAGACAAAAGTCAAGTAAAAACTGTTGCTCTTATGTAATGTTCCACAATTGTATTAATTTGGTGATTATCTTTTTGATAATTGGGAATTCGAGATATTATATTAACATTAATTTTTTTATTGTTGTTTTTGTGATTCAGGCTCCAAATGCAATCGGATGTTTTCTTGGGCTGGCCCAATTGATACTTTATGCAGCTTATTACAAGTCTACTAAGCAACAAATGGCAGCCAAAGAAGTGGCTGAAGAGAAAGTTGAAATGGGCCTTAAAGAAATTATTGTGGTTACTAAGGGGCCCAACAAGGTCAACAATCTGCCAGAAAATGACTATCCTACCCTTCAAGAGAATGACCATCCTACCCTGCCAGAAAATGACTGTGTTATCCTCAAGCAGAAGGAAAATGATTTTGACACTAATATTTAATTTGTATTATTTGCATTAGTTATGCTCTCGACTACTATAAATGCATTACTTCTTCTCTATGTATCTATAAGCTTAGTAATCATTTATTTGGCGGGAGTATTCTTATTGGAAATAAATTTTTCTTTGCCATTTCCTACTATATATAATTTCTCATTCACTCTTGTGTTAGTTTACATATTTACAAGTTATTGATACTTTATCTGAAAAGCTCTTTTACTACATATTTCCTCCATTTTATAATATTAATAAAGGTATATGACTCAATATGATGTATAAACAATCACAAAAATAAGCAAATATAACAATCTTTCACTACATTTGGTTCACAATTTACGAGTTATTGACTTTATTTGAAAAGTTCGATTAAGATAATTCCTTCATCTTATATAAGTTGTGAAACAATATTGTATGAATAATCACAAAATTGAGCAAATATAATAAACTTATTAAATTGGTATATTAAAGGACTCTGGTGAAATTTTGAGAACTAAATAAGTTATATTAATTAAATTTGAGCATTTAAATCAATAGTTACTTCATCCAATTCAATATCAACTATGTTGTATGTATATTTTGGCCGGGTTGTATATGTACAAATCTTTGGTAAAATTTAGTTATTAAAATTTTATTGGTATAAATGACAAGTAATTATGAATAGGCCAGGTACTTTAAATTAAAAAATAGTACCATTGATATTCTAATTGATACTCGATAAATGATAAGGAATGAAAAAATTTACTTGGTATGCATAAAGAAGCTAAGTAGTTTAATCACGTGCTTAATGTCTAAAGCAACAACACATGCAAGATGCTAGAGGAAGAGGAGTATTGGGAACAAAGAAATGCTATCATCTTAGCTTGTGAGTCGTGACTACTTGATCAAAAGACAAATTTGCGCAACACAAAATAAACCATGAATTGCATCACTAGATAAGCCTCTTTTGTTTCCTTTAGGACAGTGTTAGGTACAACACAACTATTACAATACATATGGGATATGTTGCCATCTACTACTACTCTATATGTTTCTTCTAATAGAAGCTTAATATAAAGTCAAATTGAATGCATATGAATTGCCCTACTATCATTTGAAAGGTAGAACTACCTTACGGAACACTAATTTTTCTCAAATCTAACATGAAGCAACCATTGTTCCAAGTGTCCGGGCGAAATATTCCCCTAATTTTTTCTTTTACCTCTATTTAAAGCTCTATCTATATGATCGATACCATTGCTTGAGTATTGTGCGGTTTATGACTAATTAGCAAACTTTTTTCGTGAAAAGGGTGAATTTTATATAATTCTCTTTCGTCGTAGATATCATTTAATGTCTATTTTTGAAGTTAAGCTAGGATAGAAAAGAAGAACTAAACGATAAACATAGATAATATCTTCCGGGACATAAATGGATTCTTATAGTAACTACACATAAAATCTAGCATCTAAACTAGAATGTGTCTGCCTAAAGGGTTAAAAACTAGAATTTGATTCAAGACAACAAATGAATACTACTAATAGTAGTTAGAAAAATTACCGGCAAACCTTTCAACCAATTAAGCATTATTGGAAATGGATTTTACATTGAGATATTTGCAAAATTGACACATAAATTAAAATTGACATGACAATATAGAGATATTAAAATTAAGATAATATCCACTTGTAGAAAATACTTTAAAGATATAGCATAATTATTCAATTCTCCAAAAAATAAAAACTAAGGGTGTAGAGATTGAAGTAGTATAATTTTAAACTTTCCGTCAGAATAATTATAGGCTAAGCTAAGCTAAACTAGCTTCATAAAAAGAGACAATAAATATCAATCAATTTCATACCATAAAATAAATAAAGAATATGTCCGATTTATATTTGTGATACATATTAACCACTATTTCATGCTACTCTATCTTGTCTCATGTTATTTCATATTTTCATCAGCTGTCGATCCTTCCTCTGATCCTTCATGCATATATACTTGTTCTTTAGATAATTTTGATAAGATTTTTCCACAAAATAAATAAATGCTAATAATAAAAAACTAAACAAAACAATAAAAGGATAAGATAAGTCTTTGATCCTTTCAAAAAACAAAAAGATAAGTCTTTGACAATTACAATTAAATTGTACGTGAGAATGAGATTGTGAATTTGTGATGATGAGTTTGCGTCTTATAATTTAGGATTTTTTTTTTCAATTTTAATTTGCATATAAAATAAAAAAAATAAAAAAATCCCATTTCTAATTTTCAAGCAAAGTAGCTAGGTAGCATTTTTGTAGCTTGGAATAGATTTTATATAATTTGATTTATTTTTGTTCTTAGTTGTCGAATTTTGCATGTGCTCATGTCAAATTCAGATTTGGAAAACCCCAATTTAATTTTATAGGTACTAAAGTTTCTCAATCTAATATAGATAAGTATATATGCTGATTTACAAGCTTAGCTATTATCATGAATATTACAAAATAGTATATCATGCAAATTAATAATTTGTATGTTAAGTATTCTAAGCTATTTTGGATAATTTAGCGTTCTTATCTAGATAGCTAATGATGATTGATGAATTTAGATTGTGCGTGTACAAATTATATACCATATAAAATCACATATAAGTAACATAATTATATAGGTGAAAATCAAGTCAAATTGCATGATATTATTGAATTTGAGTTCCCCATCAGTTGTTATAAAAATGTTGGATTATATATATATATATATATATATATATATATATATATATATATATATATATATATATATATATATATATATATAATGCAAATCATATTGTTGCGATGTTTTGAAAATTGATAGATAATTATGGCTTATTTTATTTTACTCTCTTGTTTGATTATTTGGTCATCTTTGATAATTAGATAATATATGTGTATTACTTAGGAATTTAGGATCATTTAAGTGCTTCTTGTGAGTATAAAATAGACATATGATTAATAATGGCTTTAATACAAATTGAATGAATTAAGAAACACATACTAACTATCAAAAGCTAAGTAACAACAATTGCGGCACTGGCGCATAAACATTAAATCAATCGCATAAACCATAAATCGTATGTAAAGTATTCAAATTCGCGCCAATTAGATAGGTTGTAAGTTGTAACCAAGATTCGAAGAAATCGAAATTCATAGTCCCATCATATTGCATCAACTCCCTTCATTCAAATTAAAATATCTTAAAGACAAACCACTTTAAAATTTTATCAGAATGTCTACAAAAACATATACTCCAGCAAGGCAGCAATTATCCACTTTCCAGAAATAATATTATCTTTTGCTTTTAACTTAACTTCAATCAATCAATTCTTCTGATTACAATACAAGCCCAAATTAAAGAATCACAAACTTAAAATAACAATAAAACTATATTCATAATTTACATGGAATCTAACATGCAACCTTCTTTGCGTACAAATTTGATGGAGTATGATGCGTTGCAGTGTTGAGAAGCATACATTGGTTAACATTTTTCAAAGTTACATAATAATTTGCTGAAAATGTGGTGGAACATAACTAATGTTTCCTCTGCAATTTGCATGCGTATTAGATTCTGTCATAAATTTCTTGACTCATATGAAAAACAATAGGGCAGTTGATCTTTATCATAGAATCAAAGGGATAATGGTATGTACTCCGTAGTATATAAGTTAAATAAATATTTATTTAGAGATTAAAGCTTGTGTTTAATTACCAAATATAATATGGATATAATATGCTTAAACTTCTAGAACTTTTTTGACAGTTTCATTGTTGTAATTAGATTACTTTTCTAGATCGTATTTACTTAACATTCTTTGACTTATAGCATTGTTTGACACAAATGTTAGTATATACGAAGTATGTAAGAAATTATTTGGTTTATCTTAATGTGTGTCAAGTATATAGAGTTGAATATATATATATATATATATATATATATATATATATATATATATATATATATATATATATATATATATATATATATATATATATATACACACACACGTGTATCTAAAAAAGTCAATTATGTTCAAATATTGTGTAAATTTTACTTTTATTGTGTATTTCAAACAATTTTACAATTGTAAATAATTGTTTCTAGCTAGATGTAGCAAGTTTTTATACCCATACGTCGTAAATCGTAGTAGATATGAAATAGGTTAATGCAAAGGGGAAAAAAAATAGACACAAATTTGCGTGGTTCATTAACAATGCATTAGCTACATTGTCTGCCCAAACAAAAAAAAGGTAGCCTACATGTTAAATATGGGTATGGGCCGCACCCGTCACCAAGAGAGAGTCCATTTCACAAGATGGCAATAGAAGGAGTATGTAGCCCCTTAATCTTATAAAATGTTAAACTCTCTCAACTTTTATTAATGTGGAGCATTTACATGTGTTGTTTAGGTTTCAACACTTCTCCCCAGTCCTCACATGTAAGGTCCCTTTAATTCCATCACATGTTATGTTTCATGGGACTAGAGTGCATTATATTTCTCCTCGGTACCATTGCGACTTTTTCATTTTTGTTTTTTAAAAGTCAAATAATGTGTTGTATATTGTACTTAAAATTAATGATTATTATACTAATCATGTTGATTATTAGAAAAATTGGCAACAAAAGAGTGAAAACTACTTTTTATTATATGGCCGATTTTCATATACTTGTATGAATTTTTAGTTTGTAAGAAATTAAAAATCGAAAACAAAAAACGATGATGAAGGAACGCTTATCATTTAGCTTTTTTATATTCGATACTTTTAATCCTCACCATCCGTGTCCATGATAAGCAGATTGTATTCTAAAACAATGAATTTTTCTTATGCTGATCCGATTCCTTTCTATTGATAGAAAATTCCAAGTGGCCTTATTAAAAGATTTATACAACATTACGCAAGCAAAGCTTCTACTTTGCTGATTTTTTGAAATATTTTATTTTTCTAGCAAGTGTTCAATTATATTATTTATTGTGCATGGTCTTAAATTATCATGTGATATTCCAAGATCCAACTATACAAAAAGTGATTTATGCTCGACTACATTCATAATTATAGATTAAACTAACACTTCAAGAAGGTCTTAGATAGTTTTAAATTAACTAATCCATGCTTTAAAAACTAATCAGTTAGTCAATGCTTATAAAA